ATTGTTCATTACAAGAAAATGTATAATTTTCCAACATCGGTTAGGGAGTACTGTCATCTTGATTCATGAAGTCCTGGTCATTCATATATATATTCATATATATATATATATATATATATATATATATATATGCCGCGTTATTGCTTCTAAATGACAAGTGGAATTTTCTGAGCATTCACTTGTTTTGAGCTGAGGTTCTGATTTGTTTTCTTTTAAAACAAATGGCTCAGTGGTAGAGTGCTTGCCTTGCATGCCTGAGGCCCTGGGTTCGATTCCTCAGCACCACATAAGCAAAAAGAAAAAAGCCGGAAGTGGCGCTGTGGCTCAAGTGGTAGAGCGCTAGCCTTGAGCTGAAGAGCTGAGGGACAGCGCCCAGGCCCAGAGTTCAAGCCCCACGACTGGACCCAAAAAATAAAAAATAAAATAAAATAAAATTTCCCACCCTAAGTTTTTGCCAACAGTATTTTCATATAGCTTACTCAGTAGTAGTCTCTTTAAGGTGCTAAAATAGACCTTGGGCTTGAGTGCTAGCAAGAAAGCTCAGGGACAGCACCCAGGCCCTGAGTTCAAGTCCCAGGCCCAGCACCCCCTCCCCACCCCCCCATAAAAAAGTGTCAAGCCTATTTAAGACAAGAGGTCAGGATTTCCTGCCTGCCACGCCCATAGAGCGGTTGCTAATGGCAACCAAAAATGTCTCATGATTCTGGAACACCTGGCAGAAAATGACTTTGAATCGTGGTGCCGATCGCTCAGCTCCCAGCCCCTCTCAACTCCCTCAGTCATTGTGTGTAATGTATCAAGTCTTCCAAAATATAACTGTCCTTAACACCCTGGCTGAGTGTGACAGGCACATTTTGTTTTCCCCCCAGCCTGGTGTGAATTCGGTTGTGTGGCTTCCTGAGTTACATAAGCTCCATTTCTAAGCATTTCTCTTGGGGAATTGTTGGCGTACGTGCTCCTTTTTTTTAATTTTCAAGAGCTTTTTATGATTGGTAAATTCTCCGTGCATAGCCACGGACTGATCACTGGAGACAGCGGCGGGTGAGTGCTGATGGCCAGAACTCTGGGCCCATCCCTGGGCCCTGCTCTGGGTTTGCTAGAGAGTTCTCCAGCTCCTTCTTCAGGCTCTTTAGGGTCGGGCCAAGGTGGACTTTGCATTGGTGCTGCTAGCGATCGCTGGCTGCACGTCTGTTCTACCATTTGTGGTGGAGACGCGAGGTAGCGCGTCTGCGGCGGTGACGGTTTCCATTGGAACGGCTGACTAAGAGAGGGAAACGATGGCAGAGGACAGGACCATGGAAGGAAACTCACTGCGGAGTCAGGGGGGAAATGATCTCGTGGGAGGGACAACTTCAGAGCAAAGTGGCCTGTCATCCCAGCTACTCAGGAGGCTGAGATCTGAGGATCGTGGTTACAGACAACGCCCCACCCAGGAAGAAAAGTCCTTGAGACTCAACTCTAACTAAGCACCAAAAAAGCTGGAAGTGGAGCGGAGGCTCAAGTGGAAGAGCACCAGCCTTTAAGCGTAAGAAGCTCAGAGACAGCACGTCTTTCCTGAGTTTAAGCCCCCAGAACTGGCACAAAATAAAGAAAAAAAAAGGGGGGAAGCAGCCCATCCTCGGCCCCTCTTGCTTGCTGCGTGTGTCTAGTGGCTTGAATGTCATAATCCTTTTCTTTGTGGGTCCTGGGGCTTGAACTCTGGGCCTAGGCACTGTCCCTGAGCTTCATTTTGCTCAAAGCTAGTGTTGAGCTCCAGTGTACCACTTCGGGCTTTTTCGGGGGGGAAGGGGGGTAGTTCATTGGAGATGAGCGTTTTCTGCCAGGGGCTGGCTTCGAACCACGATCCTCAAATCTCAGCCTCCTAAGCTTTAATGAATGAATGTGCTGGTTGTAAAGTGGACCCATCGCAGGCCTGCAAACGCTGAGTGTCCAGGGCGTGGCATTCAGGGCTCCCCCTCTTCCCCCCCCTCTGTTAGTGGGGTGACATCCTCCCGCCCCGTGAATGCTCACTTTTGCCCACCAGATCTGAATGGCAGAGAAAGGGTTAAGCGGGAAGAAGATGCCGCCGCCTGTGACTCAGGGCGGTTTGGGCCTGTTTGGGCTCAGAATGGCTGCAAGCATTTTCCCCATCCAGTGGGCAAAGGAAATAGATACTTGTCATGTTGAGGAAAACAATTACAGCCTTTGGGGTGGCTAACTCGGTTATTTCTCAGATTACCAAGGCTCCAAGAATTCCCTTTCCCAAAAAAGGCAGGGAGCTTTTGCTGCATTCTGTGTTGTTCCTAAAACATTGGGTTTAATTGCTGGCACAATTTTCTTTTTTTCTTTGTGTCAGTCATGGGGCTTGAACTCTGGGCCTGGGCGCTGTCCCTCAGCTCTCCAGCTCAAGGCTGGTTCTCTATCACTTGAACCACTGCACCACTTCTGGTTTTCTGGTGGTTCATTGGAGATCAGAGTCTCACCGACTTTTCCTGCCTGGGCTGGCTTTGAACCTCGATCCTCAGGTCTCAGCCTCCTGAGTAGCTGGGATGACAGGCGGGAGCCACGGCTGCTGCCACAATTTTCAATACCAGCATAGTGTGTGTGTGTGTGTGTGTGTGTGTGTGTGTGTGTGTGTTTAGTTGAAAAATAAATGACTAAAACAGTCACCGTCACAGCCAGATTCCAAAGAAATATTTTTCTCCTTTTTGCTAAGACAAATAGAAATTAGAATTTCTCTCTAAAAAACCAATCTGGAAACGTACATTGAATAACAATTTTGCAATCACCTTGGGCTCCATAGCTCACAGGCCCCTACAGAAGTGTCTCTACACCTCCATCACTTTCCTTGTTCGAGATTCACTGGAGTATGACGGTTACTTGTATCTTTTGTATACATGTGTGTGCTAGGCCTGGAATTGAACCCAGGGCCTCGTGCATGCTCAGCAAGGCAATATCACTCTGCAGCACTGGTTATTAGGTGATTTCTATTGGTGAAAAAAATATTAAAAAAAAATACCTTTCCAGTCTGCTGTGGGTGGCTCACGCCTGTCGCTCCTGCCTGGAATCCCAGCCACTCAGCCCTGAAGCCACGCCCCCCCCAGACCACCTCTGGCTCCCAGCGCCCTGGCCCTGCTGCCAGGGTTGCCAGAAGAACTAACCAAACAGCAGCTGGATGCCCAGCCGGGCTGAGATAAATCCCACTTTGCTTGAAACTAAATTAAATCCTCTTCTCTTTCCTGAGGGGGAAATGCATGACTCATCGCAGATCACATAAGTTGGGGTTCACATCTGAGTTTCATCAAAGCCAGCCAACGTCTCCTTCTGGGGAAGCACTCCTTTTTTTTCTTTTTTTTCTTTTTGCCTGATGGATATAATTTCAGCCAGTGACAACGCAGAACGCGCTACTTAATAATCTCTCTCGGTTCCACGGTGTAATATCACTCCAAGGGCTGTAGCTGGCGCTTAGGTTCGCAGCAATTTCAGTCTCTTTGCTAAATTTGAAAGAAAAATCAACTTTGTGCTAACCACATGCTTGCTGTGTGCTGCGGTCAGTGTCCCATATGGAGGCATGGACCCAAAACAAAACGCTCAGAACATTACAAGGGTGACCACAGTTTGGTTTGGGGTCGAACTCAAGGCTGTAGCTTTATACTTGAGCCACAACTCCAGCTTGGCTTTTTGCTGGTTAATTAGAGATGGGAGTCTCTGAGCTGCGGTCCTCTGATCCAGCCCCACCCTGAGTAGCTAGGATGACAGGAGAGAGTCTCTGGTCTCTGCTGCCTCTTTCTGAGGATTTCGCCAAAGACAGCGACCTTCCATCCTTCATGAAGGCGATCATGCCTTCCTCGGGGGGCTGCTTCCTCCTGGCATGATCTCCCAGCCGAGCGTGGTAGTGACCACCTGTAATCGCGGGCCTCAGGGAAGACAGAGGAAGGAGGGTCACAACGTTGACACCAGCCTGGACTATCCCCTGAGAGCCTGTCTCAAATGACACATCGAAACCAAAAGGCCGGGCATTGTGGTTCACGCCTGTAATCCCAGCCACTGGAGGATCTAGGAAGATTGCACTTTGATGCCCCCTTGGGAATAAGTGAGAGACACCCTACCTCAAACAACAAGCCAGGCAGCCCCAACCCTGCCTGCAAGCCAAGCCTCAGGGGAGATAGGAAGGAAGTTCCCCGGGCAAAAGCGTGAGACCCTCTCTCAAATGAATGAAAGCCAACAGGACCAGAAATGACTGAGCAGCTGCCAGTTCAGCCGGGAAGGCCAGGACCTGGAAGGCAGAACTGAACTTCCGGTCTTCCAGGGAGCCCGTGTTGCATGCCATCTCTTGCACGGAGCAGACCGCACAGTGCTGCCAAACGCCTTCTCCACCTAGCCCAGAAAATCCCAGCACTGGGGCCTAGGGCGTGGCCCAAGCGCCCAGGCCCTGAGTTCAAACCTCACTACCACCCCAAGAGAGAAGGAAGGAAAGAAGGAAAATGCACACGATCGCTCTGCCCAGCAGGCAGCTTTACGTTATGTGATCCGGTGGAAGAATTAATAATCTACAAGTGCAAAGGAAAAATTTATAAATATATGTATATATGTATATATATATATATAAAATGATAGAGTATCAATGTCTAATTTACATATTTGGGAACCCTAGTGGAAGATCTTGGTATAGATTTTTTTAAGCTTTATTTCCTTTTATTCCAAGAACTCTATGAACCCTAATCTCACTGCTCAATCCTCAAGCCAGAAAGTATGTATTTCAGCCAGGCCCTGGTAGCTCACGCCTGTCTCTCATCCCAGCTACTCGGGAGGCTGAGGGCTGAGGATCGAGGTTCAAAGCCAGCCCCCGCAGGAAAGCCCGTGAGCCTCTGATCTCCGGTGAACCACCAGAAAACCACAGGCGGAGCTGTGGCTCAAGTGGTAGAGCACCAGCCTTGAGCACAAAAGCCACGTGAGAGTGTGGAACTTACCACTTGCTTTTCGTTACCCACTGATCTGTGCTCTGGCTTTGCTTTTTCCAGTCACAATGAAAGGAAAGTGACTTGCAAGCACCCGGTCACAGGCCAGCCGTCTCAAGACAACTGTATCTTCGTAGTGAACGATCAGTAAGTACAGGGCGGGTCGCGGGCCAGCTGCTGTCAGCACGGGGGTGGGTACGTGGCTGTGGGGTTCCTGTCTGCACCATGTATCAGATGGCCAGGCCAGGATGTCAGGTGCACACTCTGTGCAGTGGGAAAAAACTGAATTTGTAGCCAAACGCTGGTAGCTCACGCCTGTCATCCCAGCTACTCAGGAGGCTGAGATCTGAGGATCCAAGTTCAAGGCCAGCCTGAGCAGGAAAGTCGGAGAGACTCTAATTGCCAATGAACCACCAGAAAACTAGAAGTGATACTATGGCTCAAGTGGTAGAGCACCCGCCTTGAGCTGAAGAGCTGAGGGACAGCGCCCAGGCCCTGAGTTCAAGTCCCAGGACCAATAAAAACTAAATCTGTGTGTCTGTGCCATTCCTGGGACTTGAACTCAGGCTCTGGACACTGTCTCTGAGCTTTTTTTTTTTCCTCTCAAGGCTAGTGCTCTACATCTGGAGCCCCAGCTCCACTTCCTGGGTTTTTTTTGGTGGTTCACCAGAAAGAAGAGTTTTACAAAGGAGCTGGGCAGGTGGCTCAGGTGGTAGAGTGCTCGCCTAGCATGCAAGAAGCCCTGGGTTCAATTCCCCAGTACCACACACAGAGAAAAAGCCAGACGTGGTGTTCTTCTCCAGTGGTAGAACACTAACCTAGAACAAAAAGTTCAGGGACAGCGCCCAGGTCCTGAGTTCAAGTCCCAGGACTGGCAAAAAAAAAAAAATGTTTCACAGATTTTTCTGCCCAGGCTGGCTTCAAACCACGATCCTCCCATCTCAGCCTCCTGAGTCGCTGGGATGACAGGCCTGAGCCAGCGGCCCTGGCCCCCAGCTCAGGTAGTTCACCCGCCTTGTTGGCCCTAAAACACGGCGGAGCCCGTGACGTGCTGTGTTTCTAGGGTAGTTGGGAACATGCCGGCAGAAGATAAGAAGGAGCGGCCCGTGAGCATGGTCAACGAAGCCAGCTACAGCCCGGCCTCCGACTACGCGCCCCACCCCATGAGCCCCGCTGGCAGGGTAAATGGTTGCCTTTCCTCTTCCTCACCAGCCGATGCTGGGGCCGGGCGGGATCCAGAGCGGTTCCCCCAAGAGAGGGAGGCTTGGGGCTGCACCCCGATCCCTGCTTTTGGGGTGATGTCACCAAGATAGATAGCTACCCAGGCGGCTCCGATCTGGAGGACGGCAGTTTGAAACCAGCCCTGGGAGCAAAGTCCTTAAGACATCCTCTCCGTTGAACCAACCAAAAGCTGGGCTGGAGGAGCGGCCCACGTGGTAGAGCTCCAGCCATGAGCTGCGTTTAAACCCAGTACCTGGAATGAAAGAATAGTTAGGCCAGAGGCTGGGCAGGTGGCTCAGTGGTAGAGTGCTCGCCTAGCATGCATGAAGCCCTGGGTTTGATTCCTCAGTACCACATGCATAAAGAAAGCCAGAAGTGGCGCTGTGGCTCAAGCGGTAGAGCGCCAGCCTTGAGCAAAAGAAGCTCAGGGGCAGCGCCCAGGCCCTGAGTTCAAGCCCCAGGTCTGGGAAAAAGAAAAAAACAGCCACGCAGCTTGATTTTAAAGGAGTCATTGTAAACATCTTTTCCTTCCTTACTGTTTTCTCTTTAGACTTCACGGGCATCCAAAAAAGTTCACAATTTTGGGAAGAGATCAAATTCAATTAAAAGGAATCCTAATGCCCCCGTGGTCAGGAGAGGCTGGCTTTACAAACAGGTATTGGTATTTTTTTCTTCTTCTTCTATTTGGTATGAAACAAAAGGATAAAAACCAGAAGGAGCCGGGCACCGTGGCTCACGCCTGTCACCCCAGCTACTCAGGAAGCTGAGATCTAAGGATCACGGTTCAAAACCAGCCAGGGCAGCAAAGTCCATGAGACTCTGATCTCTAACGAACCATCAGAAAACCAGAAGTGGCACTGTGGCTCAAGTGGTAGAGCGCTCATCTTGAGCTGAAGAGCAGAAGGACAGCGTCCAGGGCCCAGAGTTCAAGTCCCATGACCAACCAAAAAAGAAAAAAAAAAAATGGGACATTGTCGGGCCAAAATGTTACCAAGACAGTGCTGTAAAATGATTCCTTGCCTTTTATTACCTGTATAAATGCCAAGAGAGCAAGAGAACCATTAGTTAGAACGCAGAGGTTGATGTATGCTTGTTAAACATCAAGAGAGAAAGTCAAACTCTTTTTCTTCTTGGTCTCTTCACATAAAATCATTACATAAAGGCACAGTGCTCTGCTTGCCTGCATTTTGTTTTCAGATTTTTTTTTTTTTGACTTTGTTTTCAGATTTTTTTTTTTTTTGACTTATACTCAGACTACTGTGTCTCAACCTCTTAATTTTGGTCTTTTTATTATTTCGCTTTTTCTTCTCATGCTGATTCAAGCAGAGTCTATGCTCAGACCATAGGGTACATGGTCGTGAAAATGGATCGCGCTATCTGGGTTGTTTGATAATGAAGCTTTTTGGAAAATATTTAATAGATTGAGGTTAGCCCTCAGGTCTATATTTTACTCCCCTCCCTGGATTTTGGCACATGATCCTTATGGTTTTGAGGCTATTTTTTTCTTCTTCTCAGTTTGTGGCTGGGTTTCGGTAAGTGACTACCAAGAAACCAAAATGATAGAGGGAACATTCCAGGCTTCTATCTTTCTGTTCTGCATTCCAACATCAGATCCATGGCCCAAAACGAGTTAAATGTTCCTTTCTTGAATGATGTATGTCAGATCCGACCACTAATACATTGTTTGCAAATGCTGAAACCCAATACCGTCTTCCATAAAATGTACAGTTGCTAGTCAGGCACCAGTGACTCACGCCTGTAAGCCCAGCTACTCTGGATGTTGAGATCTGAGCATCATGGTTCAAAGCCAGCCTACATAGGAAAGTCCCTGAGCCTCTTATCACCAATAAACTACCCCCCCGCCCAAACAAAAAAGCCAGAAGTGGAGCTGTGGGCTCAAGTGGTAGAGCACTAGCATGCATGAAGCCCTGGGTTCGATTCCTCAGTACCACAGACACAGAAAAAGCCAGAAGTGGCGCTGTGGCTCAAGCATTAAGAGTGCTAGCCTTGAGCAAAAGCAGCTCAGGGACAGTGCCCAGGCCCTGAGTTCAAGTCCCAGGACTGGCGTGCGCACGCGCACACACACACACACACATACACACACACACACACACACACACACGCAGGAATCTTTTGCATTCATGGATTTTTATTCATATTAATTTCTATTCTAAAAGCATTGCTTGATGTTGGTTTCCAGCTAGGAATACATTAAGAAATACGAAACATGTGATGTGCATTAACCCCGTTTTCCATTATCTACCTGGCTGTCTGCTTTCTCTTACATTTTTTTGTTTTATTGCATATAGCAAAGTAATTTTTATTACAACTGTAATTTTGGGTGAGCGATAGTTTCATGAAGTAAATTACTTTAATCTGGACAGCCTTCTAGAGGATGAGCAAAACCCAGAAGAAGAAATGTCACGGATATGCATTTATATATTAAGGTTTCAAGATGCCCTTTAATTTGTTGTTGTTGTTGTTGTTGTCAGTTGTGGGGCTTGAACTCAGGGCCTGGGCGCTGTCCCTAAGCCTCTTTGTGCTCAAGGCTGGTGCTCTACCACTTGAGCCACAGCGCCACTTCTGGTTTTTGAGTGGTTCATTGGAGATAAGAGTCTCTCGGACTTTCCTGCCCTGGCTGGCTTTGAACCTTGATCCTGGATCTCAGCTTCCTGAGTAGCTGGGATGGCAGGCGTGAACCACGGTGCCCGGCTGCGCTGTCATTTTAAATGACTTCCCTGCAGAGTACTTGTTGGTCTGTACACTTAGCTTCCTTCCTGCTGACAGTCCCACGATTCTGACTCACCCAGGGCTAGACAGAGCAGCTTGCCTGTTTCTCTAGGGGAGGTGGAATCAAAGCCTTTTTCATGACCGTATTAGTTTCCAGAAGACAGTCTACTTGGTAAGCTTCCTCGAAATTTTCTGTACCCATTACATGAGAACCCCACGTATTTATGGGGTGCAGTGTGATGTCTCCATTCCTGTAAACACTGCGGAATATGAAATTGGAAAGAACTTCTCATTGGCCTCAAGTACTTTAGCATTTCTTTACAGTGAAAGCAGTAAGCAAGACTTCTTGCTCCTAGTTTTTTTGGGGGGTCAGTCGTGGGACTTGAACTCTGGGCCTGGGCGCTGTCCCTCAGCTCTTCAGCTGAAGGCTGGCGCTCTACCACTTGAGCCACAGCGCCACTTCCAGTTTTCTGGTGGTTCATGGGAGATCAGAGTCTCATGGACTTTGCTACCCGGGCTGGCCTTGAATTGCAATCCTCAGATCTCAGCCTCCTGAGTACCTGTGATTACAGGCGTGAGCCACCAGCACCCGGCTCTTTCTCCTAGTTTTTGTTTTTTGGTTCGTTTTCTTTTGGTGCCAATCTTGGGACTTGACCTCAGGATTTGAGCACCGTCCCTCAGCTTATTTTGTTCAGGGTTGGCGCTCTAGTACTTGAACCACACTGCCACAAGTGCCTGACTTCTCAGTGCTTTTTGGACATAGGCAGAACGTTGTCATTTCCATCTCCCTGAAACCAAAACTTGAGCACCCAAACATTCTTCCTGGCCTTGACGGCTGTGTCACACGCATAGGAAAGTCAGACATGCGCTCCCAGGGCCGGCCACATGCTAGAATGAAGCAGCCCCTCTCCTCTCTCCCCTGCAGGACAGCACCGGCATGAAGCTCTGGAAGAAGCGCTGGTTTGTGCTCTCCGATCTGTGCCTCTTTTACTACCGAGGTGAGTGGTCTCCCCACGGTCTCTTGTGCGTTCGTTCACCATGACAGTGTTGACCCAGTACTAATACTTCATAAAGGAAAAGCCACAGCCATCTTCGCTTGTGCGGTTTTAGTATCAATGAATAGTACCAAGAAGAGGATCTTCTCTAGCCAGGCGCCGGCGGCTCACTGAGGCCTGTAGTCCCGGCTCCTCAGGAGGCTGAGGTCTGAGGATCGTGGTTCAAAGCCAGCCCAGGCAGGAAAGACCACAAAACTCTTTTATCTCCAACTAACCACCAGAAAACCAGAAGTGGAGCTGTGGCTCAAGTGGTAGAGCACCAGCCTTGAGTGAAAGAGCTCAGGGACAGCGCCCAGGCCCTGAGTTCAAGCCCCAGTACCAGAACACCCCCAATCCCCCCCCAAAAAAAAAACCAAATACTTTTCTTAGAGCTCCACAATCTAGTGAAGAGAGGAAGAGAATGGAAAATTCTAGAATGATCACCTTTAATGAAAGTGAGCCTTGTTCATGAGATGTTGATCAGAGGCTGAAAGACATGTTCCCTGTCTTCACTGGTGAGCTTGCATATTTCAGTGACTCACAAAAGGCCTTTGTAGAATGCAACATACAAACCAAACGTTTGATGTCTAAATGGGGTTTGCTTTGATGTGTGGGGACTAATTTTGTGCTCTGGTATAATAAGGGAGCTTATTGAAACCGACCGAGCCTAGTGGTGCTGGCTTGTAATCCCGGCTCCACACAAGAAGCCTTCCACATTCAAGGCCGGCCTGACTCTGTCTTAGCCAGCCCCCTTCCAGAGAGAGAAGGAGAGAGAAAAAGAGCGAAAGAGCCTTTGCTATTTTATTTGATGTTGTTTAAAACCTTTAAAAAAAATGAATAAATAAAAGCCAGGCATTGGTGGCTCACGCCTGTAACCGTACCCACTCCGGAGGTTGAGATCCGAGGGTGATGGTTCAAAGCCAGCCTGGGCAGAAAAGTCTCCATGAGACTCATGATCTTCAGTGAATTGCTCCAAAACCAACCGTGGAGCTGTGACTCAAGTGACAGAGTGCTAGCCTTGAGCATAAAGAGGCTCAGGGACAGTGCCCAGGCTCTGAGTTCAAGCCCCACAACCAACAAAAAGACACACACACACATACATATGTGCATGCATGCGTGCATGCATACAGATCTGTCTGAATATAAATATAGCTCAGTCGTGCATAAGAACCTTTTGGTTTGGCCCAAGAAAGTTTTGAAAACCTTATTCTCTTTCCTTCTGAAAGCCTGGATATCTTTAATTAGTTATTCAATTAACTCTTAGATGAGAAAGAAGAGGGGATTCTGGGAAGCATACTCTTACCCAGCTTCCAGATAGCGATGCTTACCTCTGAGGATCACATTCATCGGAAATACGCCTTTAAGGTAAGGCAGTTTCGGGCTGGGCAGGTGGCTCAGTGGTAGAGCGCTCACCTAGCATGCATGAAGCCCCGGGTTCGATTCCTCAGTACCACACACACGGGAAAAAGCCAGAAGTGGCGCTGTGGCTCAAGTGGTAGAGCTGAGGCCAGACCTGCTTCTGTCCAGGCTGGTCTTTGCTGCCCTCTGGTGGCCAGTTACTGCCTTTGCCTTATGATTATGGCTGAAATAAGTTTCAGGGGTCACCTGTGACTTTTGTGGCCTCTTTCTGAGCACATATGTTTATGAGCTACAAGGCTGTGAACATTCTTATCTGGTGTAAAAAGGAGCAAATAAGGATGACCGACATGGTTGCTCAAAACGAAATGATAGCCAAGTACCTGTGGCTCACGCCTGTCATCCCAGCGACTCAGGAGGCTGAGGTCTGAGGATTGTGGTTCAAAACCAGCCTGGGCAGGGAAGTCCGTGAGACTCTTGTCTCCAATGAACCACCAGAATACTGGAAGTGGAGCTCGGGGCTAAGTGGTAGAGCACCAGCCTTGAGTAAAAGAGCTCAGGGACAGCGCCCAGGACCCGAGTTCAGGCCCCATGACTGACCAAGATACTAAAATTAAAAAAAAAAATGCAAGTATTTCTACTTCACAATATTTACTCACTTTCAACTCCTGTCCACTTGTAAAGAACTTTACAAGGGCTGGGAAGGTGGCTTGGTGGTAGAGTGCTTGCCTTACATGCATGAGGCCCTGGGTTCAATTCCTCAGTACTACATACATAGAAAAAGCCAGAAGTGGTGCTCTGGCTCAGGTGGTAGAGCACCAGCCTTGAGCTGAAGAGCTGAAGGACAGTGGCCAAGCCCAGAGTTCAAGCCCCACGACTGACAAAAAAAAAGAGCTTTACAAGTACTCCCTTATAGCATTTGCTACTAGGTATTTTTTTAATCCAGTTTTAAATATCTTGATTTTGTACTTTGGTTCCTTAATTTTGTTTATGTGGTGGAGGGGCTTGAACTGAGGGCCTGGGTGCTGCTCCTGAGTCTCTTTGTGCTCAAGGCTGGCTGCTACTTGAGCCATAGCACCTCTTCCAGTTTCTGAGTGGTCAACTGGAGGTTAGAGTCTCACAGGGTTTTTTTACCTGGGCTGGCTTCGAACCGCGATCCTCAGATCTCAGCCTCCTGAGTAGCTAGGATGACAGGGGTGAGCCAGCAGCGCCTGGCAATTTGTTTTAATTGTTATTATAAAGGTGCTGTGCAGGCGGTTTTACGGGGACAGTGTGTTGTCCTGATGGGGGGGGGGAGGGAAGAGGGAAGCGGTGGGTTGTGGGATGGGTGCTGGCAGCTCACTGAGGACCTGGGCGGATAAAGGGGTGGACTTCCGGCCAAGGGCAGCTGAACATCCGGGTATCAGCAGCACTTGCTTGTGTGTTGTATTCCTTTTGTCTGTAGGCCATTGGACCGGGGTTCCTAGACCCTCAGAGCACAGTAGACAGACTATCTATCAGCCGGGCACCCATGGCCTGTCACCCTAGTTACTCAGGGCTGAGATCTGAAGAGCACAGTTCGAAGCCAGCCCCGGCCAGGGAATTCCTGGAGACTCTTATCTCCAATGAACCAGCAAAAACAAACCCCAAAGTAGAGCTGTGGTTCAGGTGGTAGAGCACCAGCCAGCAAGGGCAGTGCCCAGGCCCTGAGTTCAAGCCCCTGTGCTGGAGTGTACACACCACACACACACACACACACACACACAATACACACACACCACACAATACACACACACATACATACATATACATACATACCACTCACACACCACACACCATATACACAATACACACACACCACAATGCACACACATACATACACTACACACACATACACACATATACACACATACACACCACACACATACACAATACACACCACACACATACACCCCCCCACACACACATGATTATTTTATGTAACAAGAATCGTAATGGTGGCTTCTCCTCCTCTTTTCCGTGCTGTCCCCTGCGTGTCCGAGCTGCTGTGTTACTAAGCCCTTGGACCAGGAAGCTTCTGTGTGTTGATCTGGTGAGTAGAGGCACCAAATGCGCCTGCGCGTCCTCGAGGGCGTGGTCGCTGGGAGGGCGTGGCTCCCGTGGTTGCAGAGGGGGCGTGGCTGGCGTGGTTGCAGAGGGGGCGTGGTTAAGAGGCGGGGTTGTCTTTGGGGCGTGGTCTCCGAGTGGGTGGGGCTGGTGCCTGACAGTCATGGGGCAGGTTGCTGCAGGGGTGTGGTCTCTGGGTGGGCGGAGTTGCGGGGGAGTGTGGCTACTGAGGGGCGTGGTCTCCGAGTGGGCGTGGCTGATGCCTGACAGTCATGGGGCAGGTTGCTGCAGGGGCGTGGTCTCCGAGTGGGCGGGGCTGATGCCTGCCAGTCATGGGGCAGGTTGCTGCAGGGGCGTGGCCTCTGGGTGGGCGGGGCTGATGCCTGACAGTCATGGGGCAGGTTGCTGCAGGGGCGTGGCCTCTGGGTGGGCGGGGCTGATGCCTGACAGTCACGGGGCAGGTTGCTGCAGGGGCGTGGTCTCCGGGTGGGCGGGGTCGGGAGGGCGTGGTCTCCGGGGGCGTGGTCAGCGGTGCCCAGCCCCAGCTTTAATTGTAACCCAACGAAAAGAACTTCAGGGAAAGATGACTGACGTGATCCGTGCCGGGTGGAATTGTTTCTAAAGACCAGTCCGCTTTGGCGGTCGCCATCTTAGAAGCCGGTTACCCATGTGTGTTCTCTCTCTCTCCTTCTCTCTCTCTCCCTCTCTCTCTCTCTCCCTCCCCCCTCACCTCCTGTTTCCCAGGATCCCGTGCTGCTTTCTGTTCCAATGACAGTGTCATTTTCAACCAGGCAGCCCATCCCAACATGCGGACCTATTACTTCTGCACGGACACGGGGAAGGAGATGGAGCTGTGGATGAAAGCCATGCTGGACGCGGCTCTGGTGCACACCGAGCCCGTGAAAAGGTAAAGGCCGCGGGCGGGCAGGAGGCGGCCTCCGCCCGCGCATGCGCTGCCGTGGCGTGGGCTGCTGGCCTCTGCGGGG